CAGCAGCAGCAGCAGCTGCTGCTGCCTGAGTTGATTTGTGTTGGTGGTTTGTTTAAAGAGGAAGCAATCGATCTGCTGCGGCAGTTTTACTGCAGAGGGAACCCGAAGGCTCCAAGCGATAAGAGAAAGAGGCCGCTATACACACCAAACCCTAAACCCTAGGGTTTAGGGTTTAGGGTTTAGGGTTTTGGGGTTAGGGTTCGGTGTGTATAGAGGTCTCTTGCTCCTCCTAAACCCTAAACCCTAGGGTTTAGGGTTTAGGATGATGAGAGAGGATTTATCGTATATACTTGCACATGCAGGCTAGGGTTTAGGGTTTAGGGTTTAGGCTAAACCCTAAACCCTAAGATGCAGATATATGAGGGTTTCAAACCCTCTCCCCCTCACTAAACCCTAAACCCTAGATTATTTTTTTCTGGGGTTTTGTTTTTAGATTATTATTTTATTTTTGTTTTATTTTTATTTGTATTTGTATAAATACATCGATCACCACAAACACTGATGAAATACCCTAAACCCTAAACCCTAATCCTAAACCCTAAACCCTAATCCTAAACCCTAAACCCTCGAGACGTCAATAAGTATTAAAAAGACAAAAAAATGAATTCCTGGGGCCGGCTGGCTCCGTAAACCCTAAACCCTAAACCCTAGGTATATATAATATATCAGGGTTTAGGGTTTAGAGTAAAGAATTACCCTAGGGTTTAGGGTTTAGGGTTTAGGGTTTAGATACAGCGAAATGTAGCAACGAGAGATATATGATCAGAAGGACGCAAAGGCGACGGCAGCGCGGGGTTGGGTAGGTGTAGCGCCTCAGCCTCCTGCAACAAAAAAAATAAAAAAAAAAACAAAAAAATAAAAAAATAAATAAATACATTTAATTAATTTAATTAATTAATTTATTTATTCGTTTATTTCGCGTTTATTTTTCTCTTTTCTTGCCGCACCACACCAACCGCCGAAAAAAAAAAAAAAGCTGCACATACACCCCAAACCCTAAACCCTAAACCCTAAACCCTAAACCCTAATAAACCCTCACGCGTATAAGTTGTTGTTCTGAAACAGGTTCAAGTATTTCAATAAGTTGTAAGCTTTGAGAAGAAAAAAATATATAATCTAAACAACCAAAAAATGTTGGCGTGTAGTTTGTAAATTTGGGTTCGAGCTGCCTATACACCTCAACACCACCGCCTGCTGCACCTTCCAGCAACGCCCTACCCTGCATACAAAACCCTAAACCCTAAACCCTAAACCCTAAACCCTAAACCCTAGACAATGGATCATGAAGTATAGTGCAGCCAGAAGCGAAGAAAAAAAAAAAAACCGACACCACACACAAATTCTTACACAAACCCTAAACCCTAAACCCTAAACCCTAAAC